ATCAGAAATTTTAATGTGCGTGAATATAGCAAACAATAAAATTTATTGATCTGTCAAGGCATTATTTACGTACAGGTTGATGGCATCAATGTTCCCCGCAGGCTTCAGTAGTTTGAATCTGTCGTGGTCTTTTGGGTGCCTTTGAGTGATGTGCCGTTTATTTGTTTGAGCAACTGGGGATTTTACTGTTTATTTGCGGATATGAGGCAAAGCTAATTAAACTGGAGAGACTATGAGCGTACCCACAGCACAAACGTCAGAACTGACAGCAATTATGTTTTGTAATCTACACACAGGAAGTCTGTCTCCTTTTGTCAAACAGATTGTGTGGGTTGTTTGAGGTTTGTGGACTGTTTTTATAAATGGATAAAAGTATAAAATAAAAACCTACCAGCACACACACACACACACAAATTAATATAGCTGCTGAGTAAGTTGCTCAAGGTCACTTGTGTTTTTGTTTTGTTTTTTTTGCTGATAAACCCATTTGAGACTAAATGTTTCTCTGTCAAATAAATGCTGTTGTTTTGAACTTTCTATTCATCAAAGAATCCTGAAAAATTGTATTTCAGTTTCCATAAAAAAAATTAAGCAACAGAACTGTTTTCAACATTAATAATAATATGAAATTTCTTGAGCATATTAGAATGATTTCTGAAGGATAATGTGACACTGAAGACTGGAGTAATGACTGCTTTGCCAAAGGAATAAATTACCTTAAATTATATATAAATGGAAAACAGTTATTTTAATATTATTAGTTATTGTAATATATCAAAGTAGTACTGTTAAAATACATATATAAATAAATGCAACCTTGGTGAATGTGGTAAAAAGGCATGTCAACCCCAAATTTTGAACAGTAGTGTATATTGTAGGGGGAGAATTATTTAAAAAGCCATTTGTTTGTTGACAAATCTGTTGTATCAGTTCATGGGGGTGAGTAAATTATCTTTTAACTAGCTTTAGTGAAGTGTGAACTGAAGGCACATACTTTAGGCTTGATGCCTAAAGGCAACAGAGATTTGAGCCAAGGTCTTCACTGTACTTTAGGTCACCTGCACTGAATGGAAAAATGTAGACAGCCTAATGTGTTTCAGTTTGGCTGAGGGTTAATTACTGAACCTACTGAACTGTTATCAGTGTTTGCTTTTGATCCAGTAATGAAATTCTGACTTGTATTAAGGAAGCCATCTTTTGTCTCCTTTTGTAATACACAAACAATTCCAGACAAAAAAAACAAGCCATGAGTCAGAGTGAAGCTGTGAATGAAATGAAGCTCTGTGGCAGGATTGGTGTGAGACGCTTTCTCCTAAACAAAACACTGTGCTGGTTTTCGCCATTTCGATCTTGTGACTGACTATTTATTATTCATTTTGAATAGTAAATGACAATTGTAAACAGATACAGATTTGTGACACATTAGCATTGCTAGCAAGGCTAGTCAACACATTATTGGCAAAGACTGTCAACAGAGAAGGTGTATAAAAAAAAGGAAACAATGATCTTCCCTTTTGAAATCTCTGCTTTCTCAGTACCATCAAACATGTATGGACTTGAGGTGACAATATACTAAAAATAACAGGTAATGTAGTATGTTTATTGAAACATCCGTTGATGTACTTGACTCTGAGTGCTACTAAAGGGGTCAGCGTTTAACATCAGCTGTCTAATTTGAAACGAGAGGCTGTCAGAGGAAAATCAACATCCGTGACATCGATTGTCCTCTTGTCTATTTATGAGGAGGTGAGGCTGGATAGTGAAATACACAGCAGTGACGCTTTCAGTCCATTTACATTCTGTTGGTGCTTTAGTGTCTAAGAGCAACAACCCTGCGTCTATTTCTAGCTCTAGGTCAGAAATACCACAGATGTTAGCCGGTATAGTATGAATCCTGATCGTATGCAGCCTAATCCATGACGGACAGGTTCCTGGAAAGATGGATTGCCGTAAAGCTGCGGACTCTACCGCCTGTCTGACTGAACGGGGTGAATGTGCACTTTAAGTAAAACACTGGAAATATGAGAGGATCTAAACAGCAGCAGGGGAAACACGTACAGAACAACTGATATGTCTGGTAAATATTTTGTATTTTTTTTATTTAACAGTGGCAGAGCATATTGCTCATATTAGTTTACTATTTAAATGTACGTCCCATGTGTTGTGCACAATGTGCAGTATAAGATGGTAAGCAGTTTTAATCTTCTGTGTTGCTGTGATGCATGTAAGAAGTGTGGATTTTGCACTGTAATTCTTCAGTTGACAAGCCAGTGTTGCATCACAACACCATCTGCTGGTGGCCAGGATCATGCCTGAGTCAACATTTTCCCCACACAATGTGTGCTTGGCAGATTTTTCATATAGTATATATATATATATATATATATATATATATATATATATAGTGCCTTGAACGGTATGAAAGCAAAGGAAATATATAAATGATTTAAATATTAACATCTGTTTCAGTCACTGCTAGCTGTTTTTAATGGTAATTGATTGCTTTCAAACGTTGACTGAGGATAAATGGATAGAAACAAATTACTAAACTCATTTTATTTATTTCATTTGAAAAAGAAAATAAATGCTATTTAATTCTACATGGGAAAGGGTCGTTACAAACAATAGGAAAAAACACTTCCCCCTATTACTGGAAAAAAAAAATTTGAATGAAGGCTAAATCATAAGCAATGAATATGACTCTAAATAGGGTATTTCTGAAAGGGACATTGGTAAACAAAAACATTTGGGTTTTCTGTGGCGTAATGATGATTATGTATTTATTTATTTTTGCTCACAATGTTGGAATATGTTAAAATGTCTTTTTAGGATAGCTCCTAAAAAGTTTTTAACAATAAATACCACACAAACATCTGTGAGTATGGGCAGTAGTTTAGGTATTTGGGCAACCGGTTGTACTATGTAGAGAGAAAACAGGTGCAAGGAATTTTCTTTAACTAAAATGCCTTTTTTTTTGTCATTTCAGAGTTGACAAGACATTTTCCAGAGCCAGGAGTTTGTGGTAAGTACTGTCTTTTTCATTTAACTCAGTCATAGCCTGAAACAGCCATTCCAGAAACCACAAGCTTTTATGCTGTTTTGCTCAAGGGTATCAGCCTGGACACAGTTACAGAGGAAAGACAATTTTCTCTCTGCTTTAAGTGACTTAGAAGGAAACCATTCAAAGGCCCTTTGGTGTTGCAGCTGCTTTTTCCTTCGTAATACCATTTAGATTTCATATTTAGCTTATTGCCAATTTAAGGATGCTGGTTTAAAAAAACTTTCTGTTTACTGTTGCAGGGATGTGCACCATTGAGAATTACATTTAGATTTAAATTTTAATTCAGTTTGAATTCAATTAGAGAAATCAAAGAGGATACAGAATTGATACAGTATTGTCTTTGAAATTTGAAGATTTATGGGTGGGTGGGTAGATAGATACCCTAGTTAAAAAAATCCTATGTCATAATTTGTTTAAAATTCATTAATTTCATAAGTATACTTCATATCTATTATTGACATATCACTTAAGACTTACTGATATAAAATTATAATAAAATTTTATTTTGAGTAATTCTTTATTACACAAAGCATATTTCTTAACATTATGCCTAAAATGTGTTTTAATATCACTATTAATAAAGATTGTATGATCTCTGTATTATACCAGTCTTTAAATGTAAGCGATTTAATGTGTACCGGAGGTATACTTGCAATAATTCCACATTAGCACAGTCAAATATACTTAAGTATATCTTTAGTTGGACCTCAGCACTACTTCCACACAATTAAAGTGCATTAAGCACAAATTTAAATTAGTTGTTCCAATTTAGCAGACTTTAAGTATACCAAAAGTACAATTGCAGGGTATTTTTATTAATCACATAAATACGTGAATGTATTTTGTGGTATACTTAGCACAAAATAAATGTATTTCAAAAACATTTTAGTATATATTTTTTAACTAAGATAGATAGACAAATGGATGACGGATATACAGACAGATAGACCAATAGACAGATGGATAGACAGGCGGATAGACAGATAGTTGATAGGCAAATAAGGTAGGCAGACAATTTTTTTAATTCTAAGTTGTATACTGTTGGTTTTAAATCTGTATCGAAAGTCAAGACATGTGGGATTGTTTGACTCTGCTCAGGGAGTGTCACAAAGCCGTACAGAGCGAGGACAGATTAAATGTTTTCGATTCAGGCAGTGGTTTTGGGATGAGAATGGTCCGGAGCGCAGAGGACACACTGCAGCCCTGCTGCCTTGTTGCCACAGCGACGGGAGACAACTCTGCAGTGTTGGCAGGACGAACTGGCTGAGGCGCACATGCGACACTCTCACGCCCCTGTCTGTGTGAGTGAGAGTGTGTGTGTGTGTGCTGGCAGGCCGTGTGTACAGGCCTGCTCCGGATGCCAGGCGCAGATGGACAGCAGCCTGAAGGTCGGTCCTAACAAACCCACGAGATAAACCAGATTCCTGACTCCGACGGCATCCGTCCCTCCACGTGTAACCTCAGGACCCGGCCTGCATCAGTCTCCGCCTCTGTAGCAAACAGCCTGCAAGACAAGAGCCCTACCACCTCCTCGCAGAGCAGTTGAGGACAACTTGAGGATTTCTTCATATTTACGGCAATTGCAGCTTTTAACATCACGCTTCAGTGGCTTTGTGACGGGACTTTGACAGTTAGTCCATTGCTGGAGTTGCAGTTTGTTTATATATTTTGGATCTTGTGTGAACTGGACGCGAAATATGAGCTATGATCATGAAATATGACCATGTATAGAAAATGTATCTTTTTTTATTCTAATGGTGTATATATAGTGGTATTAATTCATCAAAAAGACTTTTTTGCAAATTTATGTATGAGACTTATTTTGGTTCTTTGAAAGAGACTGAGAGGAAGAGGATTCATTAGTTTGTCAGAGCGAGACAGGATCTGACTACTGTGATCCAGAATTAGGCCATAATCCCATCTGTAGGCCTGAGACCTTCAGGAAGGAAGACAGATCTCAATTAGCCTGACACATCCACAATATGCCTTGCTCTCCCTTTCGAATCAGGAGGCCGAAGAAGTTCTGGTGAGTTTGAAATCGGGAAGGTCTTTCAGTGGCAGATCTGAATATGAAAAGAATGTAAATATTTCGCCAGTGGTGCAGCGAGTGTTTGTTTAGTGGTCATTATTATGTGCGGATTGTACTCTTGGATGTGGCATACATTAGCATGAATGGATTTAGATTGGTTTGCTTAATGAAGGCACCTTGCTTAGTGTCACAAAGCAATCTTTGCACAGATCCAGCAATGCTTCAATATTCGGCAATGATACTGCATTAGAGGAATGGAGCTGCTTACTTAATGTGAATCAAGACACTTTTATCTGTTGATAAGGCATCTTTATCTCCCTGTCTCTTTCACTCACACTTTCTCTATCTCTTATATTCAGACTATTTCTCTTTCTTTGGTACATATGGGCAATCTAGGTCACTGTCATTATGTGCATATAGCAGCATCAGGTTTAGGTCTTGGGATAAAGATGGCATGAAATTGCCTGACTAGCATAGTTTTTGTTCCTGTGTTGATGCACAGATCCAGCAATGCTTCAATATTCGGCAATGATACTGCATTAGAGGAATGGAGCTGCTTACTTAATGTGAATCAAGACACTTTTATCTGTTGATAAGGCATCTTTATCTCCCTGTCTCTTTCACTCACACTTTCTCTATCTCTTATATTCAGACTATTTCTCTTTCTTTGGTACATATGGGCAATCTAGGTCACTGTCATTATATTAAATTGCCTGACTAGCATAGTTTTTGTTCCTGTGTTGATGTATTTGAGCCATGAACTTTTCAGTAGATGGTCCACTGCATGTGGTGTTAGGGGGAGGGACATCAATGTAGATAGCATGTGATTGGACAAAAATATCTGTGTAGGATCATCACTATTTATTGTCTGTTTTCCCAGAAGAGAAATAAATGCGTTTAACATCTTAACCTTAATATTAAGACATGAAGTTGGTTAATTGGTTTCATTACACCTTTGACTGTGGTGCATTAAGCTGTATTGGGGAGATCTGAAATTGAATTAGAACTGATAATCCATACATTAAGATAGTTAGGTACAAAAAAATCTACTATATTGTTTATAGTACAACCCATTTTGTCTTTGACTGTAGTCACATACTTGAGTGTTGTACTGCTTTTATAAGACCATTTACAAATAATAATAATAATAATAATAATAATAATAATAATAAAAAGAATACTAGGGATATATTCTGTTTAAACATTTAGGGTTTTGATCAGTTTAATATGTCCTTGTTCAGTAAGGACACATTAAACTTATCAAAATAGGAAGTGAAGACATTTAACATTTTACAAAAGATTTCTATTTTGAATAAAATGCAGTTCTTTTGAACTTCCTATTCATAAAAGATCATTCATAAAATCATTCATATTCATCAAAGACAAAAATAGCAGCACAACTGCCAACTTTGATTTTTTTTTCTTGAGCAGCAAATCAGCATATTAAAAAGATTTCTGAAGAATCATGTGATGCTGAAAAAAAAAGGTTATTTTAAATTGTAATTATTTCTTTTTGCTTTACTGCATTTTTGATCTAATAAAAGCAGCATTGGAGAGCATTAGAGCCTTCTTTCAGCAGGTAGCATTAAGAAATCTTACCAACCCCAAAATTTTGAATTATAGCGTAAATTTTCATGAAAAAATTGTTTACGATAGCATAGTTCATTTATTCACCCCATGTTTTTTTTGTTTTTGTTTTGTTTTTCTTCATAGAGCATCTTTCATTGTATGGACAGACAGACAGACAGACAGATAGAGAGAGAGAGATAGATATATAGATAGATAGATAGATCGATAGATAGATAGATAGATAGATAGAGCAAAAGAACAGCATGAGGGAGAGTAAATGATGACAGAATTGTCATTTTTTTGGGTGAACTATCCCTGTTGGTTTGATGCTAGTATCAAACTCCAAACCTTCTCGTTCTCCCTCAGGTAAATGAATGCTCCAGCTGCATGTTTTGCAGCTCTGTAGCATATAGTCCTCCTCTTCACAACAGCATCCCTAATACCAGGCCAGCGCTAAATCCGGAACCACTTAACGCACAATACACCACTCAGATTACAGGCTGCTGGTCCCACACTATATCTAACGCCATCTCAGGTCAGCTAAACCCATTCAAGTTCCAGAGAGACTCACCTCTCTTCCTGTAGCAGAAATAATACACATGCTGTATATTTTTCCCATTAACTCAGTGGACTTTAGCTACTTGCTTTCATTAATATCTGAATGACCTGCGGCTATGAGAAGGCTGCTGACATTCTGAGGAGAGGTTTGGAAGCAATCAAGTGTCTTTCCTGTTGCCCTTTTTACTTCCCTAACATCAAAGAGACATCCCTGGTTTTGATAAAGTATCTCTGAAAAAAGTGCAAAAATATGTCATGTCAGTACGGAGTGACAACAGTTAATTTTACTCTTCTTTCATCACAAAGTGCAGGTGTCACAGTGAGGAGAGACATGGTTTCCTCAGACTTTCTGCTTTTAAGTCGAAGTCGATCTTTTCTTCTGGAAGTATGCTGCCATAGTGTTCTATTTTGCTTTATATAATTGAGCACGTTTGTCTAACCGATGTTGAGCAGAGTTCTGTCTGGCATTATTAAACGAGACAGAGATATACGGAGGCTGGTTTAAAATAATACAATGAGCCATTAAGAGCACACAATGTCCTTCTGTCCCAGACAGCCTGTTGGGAAAATGATGAGATCGATAGAGTAGAGCGATGTCCACCGGTGCAAGCAGCCGCACACAGTCATACATAGACAAGTCCTCCTGAGAAGTTTGTATTTACAAATTTGTGTCATCAAAATCACTGCATGTCATCAGGTGCATTTAAATCACTTGCCGAAGATGCTGATATACCTTTTCTACAAAAAAAAATAAATAAATAAAATAAAAAAAATTTACTCTACTTCTAGAATGATGAAAAATGTGCATTAGGTATGTTTTTGCTTGTTTTCATTTATGCAGGTGCTGCATATAGATACATATTCTTTCATAACTGTATAATATAATTGTAATTTGAACAAGCAGTTTGGCAACTTTTCTTTTAAACAGAAATAATTTCATTAATTTCATCAAAATTTTTGTTAATATAGCCTCTACAACTATTGCGTCCCCCATGTATTGAACTAACTATACCTTCACTTCCTCTAAATGAGTCTCAGAGAAGCAGAATGTTCTTCAATCCTCTCTTTTGTCTGTATAATGATGCTCCTGAGATGTTTGAGAACTGCCTGAGTGATCTGCTTTCTTTACCAGACTCTGTGTGCCACCACAGTTCATAGTTGTAGAGCAAAGAAGTAGGCTCTTTTCTAGTTTAGGCCTATATTTGTTTAGTTTTTCACAGTATGCATGCACAAGAACCGCCGCATACAGGTGAGTTTGCTTGATCTTTCACACTCCTGTATCTGTGTGTGTTTATGGGAATCTATCGGCTAGAGTTTCAAGGAGAAGGGAGGAGAGAGCTGTCAAACTTAATCAGCCCAGACTGCCTCTGTGTGTCTCATACATGCAACTGTCTGACTAAATATTGCAGCAATGTGACAAGCTAGTCCATGATTCTCTGAGACAACATTTATAAATGGAAGCACATCGAAATCACACGGCACACAAAATCCGTATTAAAACAACATTTGCAGAAATATGCATATTTAGAAACCCTTTAGGTGTATAAAAAAGCTCTTTTATGATGAATACACTTTGGTGAAGTCTTACTGTATCTTCTATTAATCACATATTCCCGTTGGGTGATTAATTGGTTTTGTAAAGATGCTTGTCTGCATGTTTAATCAGTATCTCTGTCACAATAATAATCTGTGTATAATGACTGTTATCAGATTGTCAGAGAAAGCCTTTAACAGTGAGAAGATAGGTCATCATTCTTCATTCATACACACACACACACACGCGCCTTTTGTGGCATAGTGACAGTTTTCTATAGTAGCTTTATAGTATAGGAAACAGCATGAACTTCAGTGTGAAGGATGAGCGACCTTTTTAAAGCATAGTAACGTTAACTGAAGCATGTGCATTTGTATGGTTGATGGAGAGCAGCAATAGTCAAGGGACGCATGAATATGCTCCCATGGGTGATACAAATTTGATTATGCAATATTGTCACAGTTTTAGGCAGAAGATTCATTGGCTCATAGTTTTGAATCACAAGTATTTTGTTTAAAAAAAAGGAATGGCAATTAAATTTATGAGGAGCATTAGTAAAGACCTAGTCAGCATTTTTCCAAGCTTCTTCAACATTTGTACAGGCAATAACTCTAATACCCATTTAAGCTTTTTGCTCTATTTCCATTGGATAAGGTATCATATTTTCCCAGAAGCTGTTTTGTAAAAAGATTTATTTGCTAAAATTCTAGAAAGATATAGAGAGATATATCCACACCACCCTTTTTTGCTTTTTCAGCTGACGCTGAGATCTCTATAGAGGAATAGTTGAAGAAATGATGATGGCCTGGGCCTCGGGGAAAGCAGCTATCAGTGTGGATATCAGCACTCATAAAAAATATTAGACCCGAACATGCTGTGATGTACAAGTTCCCCCTCCTCAAACTGAAGCTGCCCATTTGGGTTTATTCCATCAAAATACCTTCAGGGCCAGAGGCACCATGCATGGGGTGTTCTGATGGCAGAGACATGGGGAGATGAGAGGCATGTCAGATTGATGTGCCACGCATCAAAGCTCAGTCCAAGCTCACTTCTGGAGGTTCTGGCAGGCAGACACTCATCTGACCCATTACAGACTCAGGCAGCTAGTGGAGGGCATTAGCTGTACCCACAGAAAAAGCCAGTTGTGGTGGTCACGTTTGGACCACTAAGATGAAAAAAATTAATTTGAATTTCTGATTTTTTAATGTAAATTTGCTATAATGAGTGCTGGGGTTTCTTAAAAGAACTTATGGTAATATATACAGCATTATGGTATATTTTTCTAAAAAATGCATGTACTATATATCCTTTTTACACACAGTCACTCACATATAAA